CATCCGTCTCTTGAGATCTGCCTATAAACTCTTTTCTCTGAGATTCTTTCTCTGTATTATGTATGATCTCTTTCTGTCTAAATGGTAGCACTTTGTGGTTTGGGGTATTTGTCTAACAGAAGTCATGTATTATTTTGTTACATCTGTTTACTTTTTAATGAAACACTTATAAATTCATACCGTTATTTAACTTTAGAGAACTTTTTGTCCTGTGTCTTTCCTTGAACAGTTAAATTTTTTGATGCCAAAATCTTTGTCTCACATTTGTTTGTTTGCCCCCACAGGCTGGTGAATATCTATTTCTATGCATTCAGTAGATGAGCAGCAAGCCTGCTGATTGATGGGTTGTTGTACCCCTTGCCCATTCTAGCTCTAATTAGTATGCTCACACACGAAATTATTTACAAAAGACAGATTGGCCCAGGCCGTCATTAACACATCCCTGAAATATTTTCATGGATTTAGATGCCTTGCAAAATGTATTGCCCAAATGGTACTATGTGTGCACACAACGAGGGAAGCCAACTTACAATCATCCTTTTAATTTGTTGTTGATGCCAGATAATTTTAAAGACTAGTTTAATTTTTATCAAAGTTACACGCATAATTTTCAGGGTCAAAAAGTTCCAAAGACACATTGAAAAGCGGCCCTCCTGTGCCTCCCCTCTTCTTCCTAGAGTCGGCACATCGACTCTTTAATTGGCTATTTTGAGTTTCCTCTGTGTCACTGTGAGTCCTTACAGCGCCTTCTCCTTCCTCCTGCTGACTCTAGAACTCTCTTAGCTTGGCACTGTTTAGCTCTGCTTCCCCACCCCCTCTTCCTGATCAGCTCCACTCCAGCACTCTCTTGATCTCACTCATGTTATCATTTTGCTCAGGCTAATATTGAGGGGCAGTTAACAGAAACATGACTTTATTTTCTTGTACAAAAGTTCAGTTTCCCTGGAGGTGACGGCTGCGTTGATTTTCTTCTTTTGTTTTCTAGCATTAATTCATCTCAAAAGCTCTCCTCAGCTGCTTACATATCACCTCAGCATGTTACTCACATCAGGCGTTCTGCAAAGGCCGCCTTTCTGGCCATCTTTCCCGCACCCTTCTGAGCCATCCTGACCCGGATGCATTTCTTTCTAGGCTGCGTTCACAGCTGTGCCGGCCTCCTTTGCTTTCCTCCCTGCAACCCCTTCACTCTTCTTCGATTAATACTCTTATTTACAGATTCTGTGCCTCCTACTTTCTTGCTTTGCCTCCTAATTTTAGATGAGTAACAGGCAGGAAAATATTTTGAGACTTGTGTCTGTCCGTATTCAGCTGCAATGACAAAATACCAGAACCTCGGTACTTTACATGTTTATCAAGCGCACAGTTTTGGAAACTGAAGCGCCCAGCAGGAGTGATTGCTTGTCTGCTGGGGAGCTGTCACAGACAACCAGCTGGCATCCCAGTGTAAGAGAGAGGTCTGGTGGCAGAACCGGAAGCCAAAAGTGGGAGGAGCCGGTCTTGTGCTTTGAAGGACAACTCATGCTCACAAGCGCCACGGCCAGCCTGGGGATCACGCTTGCACACGCAAATCCCAGGGGCACAACACGTCCACCCCACGGCAAGAAGGCCAGCTGTGGGACAGCTGCATCCCACCGTCCTACTTACTGGGCTTCTGCTGGGCGTAGCAATCGAGCCTGGAAATGATGTTTCCACCCAGCTTTGCCTCCTTGTCATATTAACTTTCTGCTTTTAGTGTAGCTACTGAAAGTCCCACACTCATCCAATTTTTCAGTCAGCTTTTTAATTTTTATGGAAGTCCGCAAGATTGCATCTATTGCTTTGGAAATTCAAAATGACTCCCCTCAACATGTAACTGTTTTTAATCTATCATGCTTTGTACTTAATGTTACTTTTCAGTCTAGAAACGCAGGTCCTTCCACTTTGGGGAATTTCCTGGATTACTTCTTACTTCTCTTTTATTTTACAAGTTCTGTTTTACTGAAATGTTAGTTACTCAGTTGGACTCTTAGGCAGGTTGTCTAAGTTTCTTATCTTCGTCTATCTTCCATCTCTTTGAGTTTTCACTCTTCTAAGAGATTTCTCTCACTTTATGGAAGTTTCATTCTGGTTGTCATAGTTTGGATTGCTAAAAATTCTGTTTGTTCTACAGTTGCTAGAGTATAGTTTTTAAAAAAATTAATAATCACTATAACTTCTGCAGTCAAACATGTCGGTGATAACTTATTTTAGAAGCGTTTATCTTCCTGCAGAGTTGTCTAAAATTTGCTTGTGACTTGCACCCCACATTCTGACCTGGGGGTTTCAAGTCAGAGGGTTTCCTCGGGGCTCTGGCCATCCGTGACTGGTGCTCACAGTCTGAAATGCTAATTGGAAGGGATTCACTACTTGCACAGTGATGGTTAGATCAGAGTCTTCAGGGAATTCTGCTGTCCACACTCTTAAGTCTCTTGTAGCTTTTGGAGAGTTGAGTTCCAGCCTCTAGCTAGGAAGGTGCAAGTCTGACTGGCTGTGCTCCGAGAGGTGAGGGAGATGTCCTCAGGGCCCCTGTTTTCATTCAGGGTTGTCCTTGCCTTCAGCAATGCCTTCAGCAATGCCTTCTGTCCTTTCCAGGGAACCAATCTCCGGCCCTGGGGCTGAGGAAAGGGCAGGAGGGGCTCTGGAAGATTCGCCTGTTTAAGGTAAACACTTCCCACCAGTCCTCCCTCGGTGGAAACCATATCCAGGGATCTGGATTCCACAGGCAAACCCGGAGGCCCCTTCGCTCTCCCGTCAGTGGGACAGCAGCATTCTCAGATGTATGGCTGAGTCACTGCCGTTCATCTGCTTCTAGATCTCCACATTTTATCACCTGTGTTCTTTCCTGTTATCTTTGTTGTTGAGGTTTAATGGCCTGAAATAATTTCCTTCACTCTGACTTTTACTGGGGTATCTGGAGGGAGAACAAAGAATGTGTGTGATTAGCTCACCATCTTTACTGCACTGGGTAATTTCACAGAGAGGGTGGGAAGATGTTCTAGCAACTGGCTGTAGGAAATGGTGACAACACTTGCAGGATTGATAGCAAATATTGGGATTTGGCGCAGCAGGCTCTCTCAGATTGAAACAGAGACCCCAGGAGAAAGTGAGCGAGCAGTCTGGGGTCCATTTCACACTCTGAGAGCAGGGAGTGTCTGTTTTAAATTAATGGGACCTTGGCCATTTTATGGCGATGCTACCTGAAGCCAGAGTCAGTTTCCTGGAGAGCTGGGGAGCCAGAGGTCACTAGCCCCAGGCCCGGAGCAGGGCCACGGTTGGGGTTGATGCAGCCGGTGTGTGACTTTGACACTGGTGCAGCACCCATAGATCTTCCGCCTTTGCCTGGAAAGTAGGGTGAAGATCGCTGCTCCAGGAATTACCCTGTATTTGCATTGATGCTTGTGGTGTCAGGAAGCATAATTTCCTAATCAGCACCACAATGCTGGAAAGGAGAAGAAAAAAAACCCTGTGTCTTGGAACCACAAGCCTTTCTTTGCATTTTTTTTGAATTTATAATTGTTGTAAACTACTACTGCCACCGTTCCCACCACCATCACCACTACTAATAAAGGCTACAGTCTACTAAGCACCTATTGAGTTTCAAGCACCATTCTCAGTTCTTGGCGTGCATTCCTTTGTGTTTTACACAGAGAAATGTACAGCGCTGATATTAACATTGTCTATGTAGGCACTGAATAAGATGAATCTAGTCACTATGACTCACGCAATCATCCAAGGACTTCATATGCATGATTTGTTTAAGCTTCCTAACAGCCTACGGAATTGGTCCTCCGTGATCACGACCTAATGTGAAGCATCTGAGTCTCCTGAGGCATCTCTCAGGCTGATCTGGAAATGACCTAGGTTTGCATTGTTCTTTCTACTCTAGAAATAGGAAATTATTTCAATTCGAGGGAAGAAAAGATGCCTTATTCTGAGGGACATGATAATCGAAAAAAGAGATGAAGATCACCGGAGACAAGCTTCATTTTTTTAAGTTTGGTCAATGACTATCATGATATCTAATGAAATAAGACACTGATAATTTGATCAGGGATTTCTATAACTCTTTGTTGCTTATAAGGCATATTTATATCCATGATTTGATTTGATCCTCATAATAACCCCATAAGGTAAACAACTCAGGGCCTACCATTTCCATTTTATAGATGAGGAAACTAAATTCAGAGAAGTGAGATAACTGGCCCAGTCTCGTGTAGACAGTCACTTGATCTTGACTCAATTCATTTGTTCAACATATATATTTCAGAAATTCTACTGTGTTGCTATAAGGTTCTGTGGATTTAATACTGATCAAGACAAAGTTCTTGATTTTGTGGAACTTAAATTTTATAAGGAAAGACAGGCAAGAAATCCATAAGCAAATGTATGATGTATTGGTTGGTTTGAATCAGTAGCATCAAGTAAAGCAAAGCAGACCACAGAGGAAGCAGAGGAGGGATAATGGAGGGGATCGGGGCCCACTGTAAACCAGACGTTTAAAGTCTTCTCACAGGGGTGACACTGGGGGCAGAGCTACAGGAAATGAGGGTGTTAACTGCGAAAACACCTGGAGGACAAGTAGCCCAGTGAGAGGGTAAGGGAAGGTAAAAACTCCAGGATTGGAGGGAGGTGAGCATATTCAGGACATAGCAATGGAGGCCGCTTGGTGGGGGAGGGACAGTGGGGAGCAGCAGGAGGAGGGTGGGGACTACCAGGCTGCACAGATGCAGGGAGAAGGCTGGACGTGTCGGAGTGCGAAGCTGGGAAAGTGACCTGGCCTCCTCTCACCTTGCAGACACCCCTGGCTGCTGTGTGGAGGTGGTGGCCGCAGAGGTGGGGCTCCAAGGGGGGAGAGTCCAGGGTTAGCTGAATGGTGCCGCAGCGCCATGCCTCGCGCTCTGCGGAGTTGTCCTAGCTTCTCCACTTGAGTCTGCGCTGTCTGGAGCATCGCCGGGCTCAGGGCAGAGATGCCAGAGCCCACGGGGGGGGGGGGTCCACACTGTGGGCTCCATGCTTTCTGCCTGAATGTGGCTTGCAGCATTCGTGTCCCATTTCACAGTCAAAGCACTGTCTGTGGCAAACATAGCACTAATGGGGAAATGAATACAGATGGTCCCTGACTTAGGAGAATTTGATTTACAATTTTTGATTTCATGATGGTGGAATAGCGATATGTCCGTAATTTGAATTTTGATCCTTGCCTGAAGTTGGGGCTGTGCTATATAAAACTCTCTGATGCAGCTGGGGCCACAGTTCCTGGTCAGCCGTGGGACCACCAGGGCAGCAGCTCATTACCCTATAGTGTCCCTTGTTGCTAAGCAAGCATATGTGGCACGTTCCACATCTTAAATTCATTTCTGACAGGATAATTTGAACTCACAGTGGTTTATGGGGACATACCCCATAAATCCTGGAGCATGGTACTTGAAAACCATGGTACAGTCTGCCTCTGATGAGCAGAAGCTGCTGTAATTAGACACAAGTGAGACTGGCTTTGGCCACGGTGGTAGCAGCTGAGGTGGTGAGAGAAGTTGATTATTGAATAAAATTTAGTACAAAAGAAAAGACAAGTTTTTGAGTTTTGATCTGAGAACCTTGATGAGCAGTGAGTGATACTTTCACTAAGGGAAGAGCAGGGTTGGGGGAAAATTAAATTCCATTCTCAAGCTGCCAGGTTTGTGATTTCTGATGTGGGGAAGACTGGTTTTGTGGTAAATCTGAGAGTCACTAGCGTACAGACGGACGCAAAGGTGCAGGGCCAGATGAGATCCCAGAGCGAGCGAGACCAGGCGGAGGAAACCTGGCTGAGGCCGAGACAGGCCCGCCAGCATGTAACAGTCAGGAAGAAGAGAACTGAGTACAGCAGGAGACAGGGTGGTGGAGAAGTGGGGAAAGAGACTGTGGGCTGCCCAGAAGCCCCTCAGGAAGCATTTCACCAAGAGAAAATAGAGTCCACACACTGAATTAAAGCCCGCCGATGTGGGGGATGAGGTGTCACTTTGTAGGCCCAACCCCCTCTAACCTGCAATTTACAATAGCCGCCCTGGTATGCGAGAAGGAGGTAGAATAGGAATGCCTGTTCTCAGTGAGCCCCTCACCCTCTGGAATCCATACTGTGAGCTGGCTTTGTTTTGCAGAAGTCTTGAGGAAGTGGCTGGCCACCCTTTGTGACACTAACAGCAGACAAATTAACAACATTCTTGAGCTAATGAATTTCTTCCTGGGCTAGAGAAGTTATGAGAACTGGTTGTGATTATTTACTTCACTTAGATAGCTTTAGAATAAACATTGTAGTCTGTCACGTTGTAGCTTGCCACAAAGAATGCCTTTTCACTACTTAATTATCTGGGCTCTGTGAACTGATCGGGTTTACTATATATGAATCCTAAAATAAAGATTGTGCGTGCAGTGCAGTGTAACGCGGTGCAGACAGTAAAGGTGTCTCTCCTGTCTTTCTTTTCCGAGCACTGTACCCCCCGTGTCCCGATCAGGCGTGTGTGCGTGTTTACCTTGCCCGGAGTTCAGAGTGCTCTAAGACACTCACGACACACCGAGACATGGACCAGAGGTCCCTGTGACCCTGACAGGCCACCAGCGGCCTCGCTGCGCTGCTTGGTGGGGACGACAGTCTCACTGGGAGGGTGGAGAGATGCCCGTGCGGCTGTCCGATTGCAAGTCCAAAGCCTGCTTTGTTTCACTAAACTGCACGGCCAGGTCTCACGGACAGAGCGGGCCTTCAGCAGTGCTAAGGAACCAGAGCTCTCTGCATCCCTCAGCCCGGGAACAGCTGCCTGAAATCCTGGAGCAACCCCTGGGGCAGAACTGAGGTCACTGCCTTCCTTCTGTGAGCGTGAGGCAGAGAGGGATTTGTGCAGAAATCTGTCTCTTTCCATTTCAGCTCCAGGCAGTCTCCCTGACTGATGGGACAAGGTGTCCCTGTGTGAGGCCCCTTCCCGCAGAGATGCAGGGAGAGGCTAGAAAAATACATGCTTCTCATTTACTGTCCTGCATCCAGCACAGGAAATCAGATTTGCTTCCAAGAGCAACACTTGAATTAAATGAGGTAATTTTACTCCGGAATCATAGTCCAGGGGACTTTCGAAAGTAATAAAGCAGACAGAAAAGCCGTGAGGTAAACGGAGAAAAGGCGGAGGAGGAATGCGCGTGTGTTTCCGTGTTGGGCTCTGTCCAGCCCTGGCGTGGCCGCCGGCAGCTGTGTGTGCTGCGCCTGAGCCGGGCTGTGGGACCCGCGGTGCGGGCAGCTCCACTGCTGGGGCTCGGCCTCCTGGCGCTGGCTGTGCACGGAGCAAGCCGGGTCGGGAGGCTGGAAAGCCTCCCGGAGGGAGTTTCCCCAGACTCTGGAGTCTTCCAGAGACTGCACTTCTGGCCGCTGAGGAGCCCGTGCTTCCAGGCAGGGCAGCCTCGCAAATCCTCAGGAGCCAGCAAGGAGGAGACTGAGTGCCCGGCACACACCAGCCTGGGAGCTGAGCCTGGCTCTCCCTGATGATGCGGGGAGGCCGGTCTTCCTCTCCGGCCCTGCACACCCGGAGTCCCTCCCACCCAGCTCGCTGGACCTCTTGGCTCTGCCTATGAGGGCCAGGGCTCTCGGAGCCTCATTTTCTTTCTGCCCACACAGAGGCAACGATGTTTCTTTTATTTGGAAAATGAAGCGACATGTGTTTCTGTTGTCCCTTGGCATGTGACGCATCTTCCTGAAATTTGGTGGCTGAAAGCAGTGGTGGCTATTACTGCTTGGTGGCTTGGCCTGGTTCCCTGTGCTGTATGCTGGCAGTGACTCATTTGAGGGCACCAACCTGGCAGCTGGGCCTGCCCCAGGAGTCCAGGGAGGGCTTGGGCATGGTCTGGCACCGCCATGCTCCTCCACATGGCCTCCGTCTCCCACGTGGTGTCCCAGATGGAATCTGTGAGGAATCTGTGAGGCAGATTCCTCACAGCCAGAGAGGAGCTGCTTAGTGCTTTCAAGTCCAGCCCCTGAGATGGCACAGTGTCACTTCTGTTACTTTCTGGAAGGGGAAGTGAAAGGGACTGTACCTCTTGGTGAGCTGAGCCTCAAGTGTGTCTGTGGAGGAAAGGTCCACTGGTGACCATTGCCAGAGGCCGCCTCAAATGAGTGAGTTGTGCAGTGCTGAAATCCTTCACACTTCAGTGTTTTCCAGCCAGGATCTGACTCCTAGCCTTTGCATCTAGGACTTGACCCCGCCTGCTGCTCCTGCCTCATTTCTTCCTGCATGGACCTCTCTCTGCAAGGCGGTCACCTGCTGTGAGCCGGAAGGAGAGTCTTACTCCAGGGTGCCAAGCTGGATCTCATACGATGCCACATAACTGTGGGGCTGGCAGGTAGACCCAGCTCACAGACCCTGTGTAGGACCTGGTGATGGAGACTGTTAGAACATCCCTGACAGTTCAGCAAACTGTGGCTGCTGGAGCAGTTGATTGGCTCCTCAACAGTCATAGAAACTTCCTCAGCAGCCCTGCAGAATGAGAGAATTATCTGGGTGACCCTGATTCTCTCAAAGTTAGCATGCAAATAGTTCCGTTATAGGTGCACAGAATGAAGCTAATTCATTACATGCAGTGTGGGCTTTCAGGGCTGTGAGTTTAATTCTCTAGGAGAAATCTGATTGAGATGGGTGTATAGCTAGAGCTATTCCTATCAAGTTACTGAGATTCCTCTCATGAATGTATTTGCTCGCTCAGTCATTCATTTTGTCACCTGTTTATTGGTTCATTCAAGAAGTACTTATGTAGTGGTGGACATTCTCTTATCACAAGCATGAGATTTGGTAACTGAAACTGACTTGAATCATCATCATCAGATGATGCTACCAAACCTAGAATTGAGAATCCAGGCAGGTGGAGTAACTTACTCAGACTCTTGGTGCTTAATTAAGATAGGGTCAGGTTAGAGCTACGTTCCCAGAGGAAGAGGCCAGTGCAGCCCAATCTCTTATTGCAAAGACAGGGATATGTGATATATCTTAATTTGCATGTGATTATTATGCTTCTTATACTAACTTTCTTTGACTGCAGTCCAAAAGTACAGAATGTAGCCTTTCCTTCTGGCTATATTAATCTAGAAAGCCCTGTACTGCTGGGTGCTTTTGAGTTGGAGGTTTTCTTAGTCCTGGCTTTGAATTTGCTTCAGTAGGTAAAGCAATTCCGTTCCTAAAAGTTCCTCTTGTGGGCTAATTCACACCACAAAAATGCAAATGCCCCTCAGTCTCTGGAAAGAGAGGCCCAGGACTGCTACTGAAGAGAGCAATCTGGGAAACTGTCTTGACCCCAAGTGCTAAGCCCAGCCTTTTGCCAGTTTAATTGTAAGCAGAAAAGCCACTATCAAGAGGATAAAAATTGAGACTCAGACTTGGAAACTTATTTGGAAACTGCAGGGCTCACTCTCTGCCTCAGTCGAGCCCGAAAGGCTCAATTTCCTCATTCTTCTGGGACTGGGTTATGTACCAGTTGCCATAAGAAATCTGATTTTATTTTTACTGACAGACAAAATTCATCTTGTTTAATTCATATGTGAGCTCTGCCAATTCCCACTTTTGTAATCCAATCAAGAGTATTATCTATTATTACCATGGAGGTGGCTTTCCCTGGTATTTGGCTACTGGTCTCATGCCAGAGATTAACTTGACTCCTAAGGAAACTATTCTCAGTACTTAGTACAGTAAGTCAGAGGAAGGTTGTTTCCATAGTAACCACACAGGCTCCAAATTTGCAACCTGTGGGTTTAAGCCTAAATTATTTACCCTGTGAATTTTTATTAATATATTTAATGTTTAAAGGTCTTGGCTTTACGTTAGTTAGAGAATCAAGGATGCAGGTGGGTGAATTCTACCAGCCCTTGCTTCTAGGCAAGGGGTTTATGGGCCCTGGCAAAGGGCGGGTCATGGGTGGAAGTGGCTTAGTGATAACTAGGACCCAGCAAAGGACAGCTGTGTCCACATTTGTTAGGAGTAAAAGATTCCCTAATCTTGCTGATAATTATGTGTACTCTGGCTCTGCAGGAGGGAGGCAGGAAGGAGGGTGGCTTAAATCTGACCATGAATGGGGCAAAGTGTTGTTCTCAGTTCAGCTGACAGCTCTTCTGTCTCTCTCAGGTGCTCGGAGCAGGTCTATGATTTTCTACAGTGCCCAAGACTCGGCAGAAGAGTCTCCCTGACCCTGGGCTTCCTCATTATCCTCTGTTCTGTCCACACACAGAACCCACTGTCTCGTAGCCTTGCTCATTAGCAATGAAGGTGGTACTTTCTGGGCTCTCCCTAACCCCTCCCTTCAGAGGGTGTTTATCCTATGATCCTTAGGCATCAGGCACACAGCGGAGGTGACAGCCTAGTGCGAGCTGCCTGCTAAAGTGTTTCCAGGGCTTCACACTCTGGAGAAACATTTGCTGAGAGAGAATGAAAACCCTGTGTTATGATGCAGGGATGGCGCAGTGGGTGCTCCGTGTGGCCCACAGCTCCCTCCGTGATACACGCCAGGCTTCCAGTGTGGGTGGCTCTCAGCTCTGTCTCTTTCCAGGCATTGCCCAGAGCAGGGGAAGCCTTGCTCAGGGTGGTACCCCTTCCCCAAGGGCAGCCTCTGACCCAACCGTGGAGGACTCCTAGTCCTGGCTCCCTATCTCAATGCAGACAACATCGGATGGCTGTTCAGCTTCGGAGCTCCCCAAAGCACCATGCGAGGATTCTGTGCAGCTGTATCCAGGTAGCTCCTCTGAGTGTTGGGCCTGAGAGCACCCCTCAGTAATCTTCCTGTGTGTGGACTTCCGTCTCAGGCTTGGCTGAGGAACGTGAGTAAGACATGGTGTGGACAGTTGTGGCATAACTAGAAGGAGGGGTTAGCGAATGGAATCGACCCTAGACATTGGGAGGAGGAGAGACAGCACTGGCTGCAGAGGAGTGAATGGGGAGTTTGGGGTGGAGGGGCGTGGGGGGCTTGCTAGAGCAGAAAGGGGAGGATGCAGCTGAAGCAGTTGTAGGAGTGCAGGGCTCCGGAGGCCACCGCTGGGAGGAGATGGCTTCCGTTTGCCGTTCCCTCAGTTTCCCTTCCCCTTGTAGGGAAGCAGCCCAGCCGGAGAGGCCAGGGACAGAGGCCTCGCTCCAGGTTGCAGGATTCACCCACAGCGAACGGAAGAGAAAGTGTGGAGCCAGGGATTTGGGGGTGTGGGAGTGGCCAGGGTGAAGTGTGAGCAGAGGTTCCTGGGTGGGGGGACTGGACCAAAGATGGCAAATGTCATGGCTGACTCTGGAGGACTAACCATGCCTCATTTCCTCTTGGGGTTCTTGACAGCTGGGAGGGCAGGCACAGGATGCAGGCAGAGGGGAGGAGCAGCACAGCTGCTGTGGCGGGGTGGGGGGTGGGGGAAGCTAGCGCCCACTCTTTTGTGGGCAGTGGCCAGGGCAGAAGGATGGAGCCAGGGAGGACCAAGCTGCACAGTGGGGGAGATGGAGGCATGGGGCCTGAAAAAGTGGCCAGGCAGGGGCCAAGGTCTCTGATGTCTGTTCCTGCTGATTGACACAAATAATCAGACTCCCCCACCCAAGAGCTGCATATGAAGAAAAGCCAGTACCTTTAGCTTTCAAGGTGGCTGGAGGTTTTGATTGTGCTTATTGCTTCTACCTAATATAAGATCTATGAAATTAGAATCCAATCCAAATTACACTGTATATCTGGAATATGCCAGGAGCCATGCTAAGCAGCCTGGCTTCATTTGTTAGTGGTTATAATCAAAGAAGCAATAAGCTTCTTAAAACAGTTCTCCTTAAGAAGAGAAGGATGAGCAGAAATACCACACACTGTTTGGTTGATTGCACACATATTTTGCTTTAACCTATTTTGGAGACTTCTAGAAGCAAAACCTAAACTGCCAAACCATGGCTTCCAGAAGGTCACATAGGAGAGTCCAGCCCTCAGGTCCACTTGGCTTTCATAGGAAACCTCTTCCTTCAGTCTTTCTAGAAAAAGGGAATATTTTGAACATCCACCTGGGTTTCCTATTTTCCTACTTAGACTTCCAGTGTGGAAAATGAACCTATTTATTGCTCCAACATTTGCAGGTGAATGGAATAAAAATTCAGGCTCAACATATGCATGCTAATCTTTTTTTAAAATTTGTAGGTTTTTATTTGGAAACAGGATCTCAATATCTTGCTACATTGCTCAGGCTGGGGTCCAACTTGCAATCCTTATGCATTTGCTTTGCACAAGACTGGACCAAGAGATTCGCAAGATGTACTTCTTTTTTAACTTGCTGTTTTTCTAAAATTAATTTTATTGGAGATACATATATATATATATATATATATATATATATATATATCACATTCCTCATAGGGAATTTGTACCTCTATATACAAATATGTAATGTATGCTAATCTTGAAGTTAGAACACTACCAGAGAAGCAGAGGCACATGAAGTCAATCTCAAATACTTCATAGCTCAGCCTTGTCCCATCCTAGTGTCCCATAAGCTCGCCTCCCTGGACTTGGTTTGGAGTTCTCCTCCTTCACGGCTCACAGCATCCTGTACCCACCTGTCTCATTTTGTACTCACCATCCAGATTGGAGGGCCACTTTGATGTGATTGCCTCCATCTCCCTTTGGGGCCACCAGGAAGCAGACATCAAGTTGAGATCAGAAGAGCAAGAGATTCACCGAGCAGGATCTGTGAAAGACAAAGGCAGGGGCAAGAGCAGGCAAAGAGAGCTTCCAGATATTTGCCATGCTGGTCTGACCCCTGTGATAAGGGAGTTGGAGGAAAAGCCAAAGGGCGTAGCATGAGTGCGTTAGTCAGGCCAGTGGAGCATTGCTGAGCCAGAGCTGTGTACTAGTATAGTCTTACCTTGTGCAGCAACGGCGTGGCTGTAACGCCTGGCCTTGCTCAGCTTTGTCTGGGAGCAGCTTAGACAAACGGTGACCTTGGGATTCAGAACTCACAGCTAGGTCTGCTAACTATATTCTTTGTAGTGGGGTCTCTCAGAGATCCAAGAGATGTGTTTCCATGGCCACCACCATCCCTCATTCAGGGAGGAGGCTCTTCAGGTGCGGGTGCATCTGATTTATTTCCACATCCTCAGTGCTTGCACAGTGGGTGCACCGGGCACACGGAAGGTGCTTCATAAGTATTTGTTGAAACACTGTCAGGGTTATATTTTTGAGAGATGTGAAGAAGGGTGAACTGTTCAAATGATAGGAAATGGAAAGTTTTTCATGGTCCTAGAACAGAAGATCAGAGTTACATGTAAAGAAAGATGTAGGGTGAAACAAAATGGGATTTTTTTCACTTTTGCAAAGCATAGGAATGTAGCTGGCATAGAAAGGAAGACATTGGCAGCAAACGATTTTGGCGGTAGCATCTTTAGGGTTTGGAAACGGAATTTGGGAAGAGAAAGTAAGAGCTAAACGTAAGATGAGGCTCCAGGCCTTAGGAGCTGGGCAAATGGGGAGAGACAGGGAGGTGGGCATTGCGGGTAATATGTTGATTTGGCTGTTAGATTTGCTGAGCTGGAGATGCTCTTAAGACTTGCAGGTGGATGTACCCAACTGCCAGTGACACCTGCCTGTCAAGAGCTTGCCAGAGAGGTGCAAAGAAGAGATGCATATTGAGAAAAGTAGTCAATGAAAGCCAGGTGAAAGAACAACAGACTTCAAAGATGAACTGAAACGGACCCTCTGTGTGTTAGGTAGCAGCTGTTAGGCCTTCATTGGCAGGTCTGAATAAAACAGAGTGACACTGTTCACTTCAATCCTTTCCATTCTTTGGTGGAAGGGGTTTCTTTTATCTGTCTGCTTTTTCTATTAACTTGTGATTTTCCAAGTCTGTCATTTTGCCTTTGATACTTACAGAGCAAGCAAGATGATTTGCAAAAACGTGGTGAACTCCTGAATGGTAGGTTTTGCTTATTAATCTCTGTTTGTCCAGTGTCTAAAATGGACCTAAATAATAGGAACTATTTAGTTACTATACATGAGGTTGAATTATTTGATATGTATAATTGTAGTTTAGAAAGTTCTTGAAAGCATTGTAATCCTTAATCATGGTAATTCTGCGAACTAGTGTTATCTTCATTTATAAACAAGAGAACTGAACTGCGTGTAACTTATTTGAAATCCTACAGTTAATAAGAGGTGGTGTCAGTCAGGACAGGTTAGAATATGCTCAATAACAGACAAGCATTAAACAAATCAGTAATTAAGAACACAAAGTTTATTTATTATCTAAGTAAAGTCCATGGTGTGTCTTGGAAACCCTCTGGAGTTTGGTGGAAACTCCCCTCCATTTGGTGGCTCAGAGTTTTGGGATTTCCCAATCCTATATCAAGTGCTTCCTGTTTGCTGCAGGATATCACAGATAATCATGTTTCTTCCATTCACGTTTCACTGGCCAGGTATATGGTCACAAGCATATGACTTCAACTAAATTCAAGGCAGGAGGGGAGAATCTCCTCCTGGGGTCCCTGGAGGAGAACTGGTCGGACTGGGAGTAGTTCTGTTGTCTACCCCCAAAACAGAACCAGGTCTCGAACTTAGACTTCTGATTTCCAATGTAGATTACATTTTGCTATTCATCTCATGTTTTATTTTTCACTTTTCATATTAAGGAAATTATACACATTCATGCCAGTTTCCAGTGCTTAATTAATACCCCCCAAATAATCATGCTCTCTACCCACTTACTCCACTTTTTTTTTTTTTGTCTTTTTCCTTTTTACCGGTACCAGGGATCGAACTCATGACTGCCTGCTTGCAAGGCAGGTGCTTACGCCGCTGAGCTAAATCCCCAGCCCCCCACTTACTCTACTTTTGTTACAGGACTAACTTCTCATCCATAACACTTGAGGTTAGAATAGGCTCAGAGTAACCCAAGATATCACTTTTTAGGACTAACACCCGAGATATCTAAATTTTTAGGGATAAAGATGGGGTTTAAATATGCAAAGGAGCCAGAAGTGGCAGATCTTTCTTTACTAATTTAAGTTCTCCTGTTCCTCTTGAATTTTCAAGAGTGAGACATATCCATATGGTGTATCCTTGTCACCAACTGGGGTAGTACCTCCTATTCCAGCGGTTCTGTGTCACACAAGCTCTGTTAGAGTTATACACAGGGCTGCAGGCCACACGTGGGACTTCCAGGCTTTGTATAAGTCCCAGTCCACATCTTGCATTCTATTCTATTAATTTCCACTCTTACGGGGTTGGGGAACCATGGCCAGTATGCTATGTGTTGAGAAAAACAATGTGACCAGGACTGCTCAGTGTACAGACAGAAGGGACACTGAGATTCATTGGGCTGGACACAGAGAGACAGACAGTGGCATATCCCACAAGGAATTCCTCCACCAGCGAATGTGACAGTCCGAGCACGTGGTGCACAGGTCTGTAGCCCAGGATGAGGATCTGCTCAGAGAGCCGTGAGTAGTATCCACTCCTACATTTCACTTGTAAGAACATGAAGGAACCTTGATGTGTAAGGTTCATCACTAGTCAGAATTTGAGTTGCTTCCATCTGCCCAGATAGGCCTACCATGAAAATGATAGCAAATCTAATATTGCCTAATTTTTTGGTGCCAGACCTTTTTTATGTGCTGTGTTTATTTTCCTTAGTCTTACAGCGTTATGGATGGTGGCTTGGACATCCTTTTTTCATTGATGAATACTGTAGGTTCACAAGGGTAGACTTTTTGATCTATTTTTCTCTGCACTGGTTGCCTACACCAGTTTTTGGCATACTCTGGGTCTTCAGTATATATTTGTTGAATAAAAAAGCCAGAGTTTTCTAAGCCAGTGAGA